CAATTGCCATTCAATGATGAGATAATAGATACGATATGAATAGACAATGAAATGAGTGGTAAGTTTGATGAGGTATTGAGTTATCAATGAATTGCTCGCAGATGTGCCTCAAGTGACCAAACAGTACCCCAAATGTCATCAATGAATGAATCGATGGGTTGTGTGCTTAGAGTCGCCACCAATCGGACCATCACTTCAAGACACATGTGAACACATTTCGTGACATTTGTATTCATATCACGGTTTTCATTGGGATCTCATTTAATTGAATACAATTACTGTCAAAATGGATGATATTTTTGATGATAATAATGATAACGAAGACATGGAGTTCGCTGACAGAGAGTGGAATAAATTGAATAAAAGTTTGCAAAAAGTATATCAATTTACCATAAATTGAATTTTAAAAGCCATTAATTTTTAATTAAATTAAATTATAGGATGGTTTTAAAGATGGTATACATGAGGGTCGAGTGACTGGTCTCCAGAAGTCTTTTGATTTGGGTTATGAACTCTCTTTTAATCCCTTTTTGACGATATCTTCATTTGAAGCCACCATTGAGTATAACTTTTTACATTGAAAATTGCGGTTCAATTGAAAACTTATGAAATTTATTTCGAAACGATTCAGTGTTTTGACCAAAAATACAGAATCCAAAGAATCGGATGAAGAGATCTCCGCACAACTGAAGACAATTAAGACAAATATAAGACAATTGTATGAATCAATTGAGAAACATTTATTGAGTTTAGAGGCAAACAATTTGCATTCAAATGGTGTTGTATTGAGTGAAGAGATCACAGATCTGTTTGACTCCACCAAACAAAATGCAATCAAAATCTGCGTTCAAAGCCATTGCCAATCACTTATACATCTAATCAAAGATCTATCGCTTTAATCATTAAATGTATTTAAATGACATATAATTTGTTAATTTTGTACATCTATTCATATATATAACTAATAAAAGTCTAATGCATCCATCAATCAGTCCTTGACTGGTGTGAAGTGCAGTTTGTATCCAAGTCTGGAGACTCCGGCGAGGAATCTGTGGCCTGGAGGCAAGTACTTGACCCGCAACTGATGGCACACCACCGCCGCACCACACAATCCCAGGAACAGATAGCCTCCGTAGGACCGCATGAATATCGAGTTGGGGTTTGGTTTGTATACCACTGAGGAGATAATTCACTGCATTAGTGGTGATCCTTATACGACGAGCAATACTCACTTGTGTCCTGTATTTGGTGTTCAATGCAATTGAAATCCGATTCAAAACCGATGTCTCGTTTGTTTGCAAACATACACTCAATGAAAGTCATATGACTTCTCACTCATCAATAATGTCCACAAATGAGTGCAAAATATTTTTATTCAATTCAAAGTTTTATAATTAATTGTAAATCTATATTAATTTAATTAAATCTATATTAGCTAACAAATTAAATCTAGCCCTGAACCTAATCTAGAGATTTCATTGCTATTAGAAAGACATTCAATTGTATTGTTGGATCCAATGTTCGACTAAATTGAGACCCTTTCCGGTGACACAACTCACGTCAAAGACATCGACTTTTTGATCGGGAAGTGAATCAATCAAATGGTCGATCATTAAGAGATATCGGATCTCCTCTTTACTCGCACTACAGTTGATGTCTGTTTTATTGAGAACTATAAGAACTGGTTTAATATTCTTGACATTAGTGTCGGACATCATCTGAAAGAGTGAGACACAGGAGTCTCCGATTGTCGACAGATTAGTCGAATCGATGACATAAATGATTGCCTGACAGTCGCCGTAGTATTGACTCCATATCTCGGCCATAGATCCGCCGACTTCTTCAATACTCAGTGTTTTTGTCTTTGTTTTGATGAAAACAATATTAGTTCCAACGGTTGACACCGTAGAGGGAATGTCCAAATAGTTGTTGATCTGAAAGTCGATGTCTTGAAGTCTTTTCAATAGCAATGTCTTCCCGGAACCGGTGGGACCAACACATAAGATCATTGTTTTCAAGAGATTACACGTAATCGACGCTAAGATCAGTGAATATCTTGTGAATGGTATCGATGTTTAGTTTCAAACAAATGAGATATTCGTTAATCGCAGCGAAAGTGATCTTTTCGTCAATCGTCGGCTTCTCTGAAGTCAAACACTTGAGGAGTGAAGACCTGTTGGGAGCGGACAACAGACACAATGAGACGATCTGTTGAACGAACCAATTGTGGTATTTCTTGAGTGTCTGATCGTATGCTTTGGCGAAATAATCGCTCAGATCTTCGCTGCGCTTCTCTTCTTCGAAGTCCGACACAAAGAGTGACAGAAATATGAGATTATAATCGAGAGCTCGGGTCAACCAAATGAGAGCATCGGTTCCCAAATGAAAGTCACTTTCACTTAATGTCTGTTTCTCTTCGGACACTATTTGATCCAAAAATGCAAACTTCTGTTCATTTGTTTCGTATATTTTCATCAATTTATCGATATTTCCGTTCATATCATGTCTGACGGGAAGGAAGCCTTTGCCCAACAGTTCCACGAATTGAACCACACTTTTGGATGCGTTCAAGAAGTCTATGGTTTGGATCCGATCGGAGTTCAGTCGAGGAAAGTAAACACAACTCTCGAAGAATTCCTTCTTTTCATTGTTTGTGTCATTCATTACAAAGAGTTTCGGGATTTTGATTACAAGTTTGTGACTGACGTTCAAACAATCGTTTGGTCACCAAAAGTGTCTAATATTTGGACACAAATGCTATAAAAAGCAATTAAAAGACACTTTTAGTGATAAAGTGGACAATGAATGGCACATTGAATGCAATCATGCATTGAATGCTATGTTATGTAAATAGTGTTGTCATAACAAACACGTGACACACAAACACTCAATCAGTTGTTTACTTATTGTGTGTTTGCTTTCAAATGCATTTATGTGCGACTTTTAGACACACTTTGACACAACTGATCCACAAGTGAGTCCATTAATCCCACCACTAATTATCTATAAATCCAATAACTAATCCAATGATTTATTAATGTCCTAATTGTGTGCTTCAGTGGCCNGAGTCAAGTGTTGAGTGCGGAGGCGCTTCAGGTTTTGGATGAGTTACCATACCTGTCGTTCATGAGGGCCAAGGTTTTAGTATTTAAATCTCAGACCAACTCTTAATTCACACGAATATTACAAAAGATACAAAACATTCCCAAAACTAGTCCTAAGAATAATAATATAACTTATATTTTATACAAAAAAAATGCATTTATTTAAAATTTATTTCTATTAACGAGTAACAAATGTTATTAATATTTGAATCAATGAATAATCAAAATAATTAAATGAGAAATAAGTTGAAAAGTATAACGAAAACTATTAGTGAGAATTGGTATCATTGGTGTTGTCCTGGCTTTTGGCCAAATCGTGAAATGCAAACAACTTCTCCTCAATTTGTGTCATCAGAATCTTGATGTCGTTAGTGAGACCTAAACCCGGGTTTCAGAGGAAATGCATTTATACAAAGAAGTCTCAAAACTAATGGTAATTACAAATGATTTTATTCCTCGCGATTCTGATCTGATGGATATCAATGTCATTGCGGGGAAAGCCGTTGTTGTCGACCAGCGAGTCATTCATTCCTACACTTTGCTGTTCATAACAATCAACAAGATATGAATCAATGAAATGAATGCATGTATGATATGATGGATGACATACACTGGCGAGGATGGACTGCCACTCTTTGATGTCATTCTCGAGTTTACTTCTTTGACTATTCAAGTCGAGTAACTCTTTGCGCAAAGCCTGTTGTCTGTCATTAGCCGTGTCTGAAGACATCATTTCAATTACTGGGACATCAAATGCACGACAATAATAAACGGCAATAAAACAAATGACTTATCGCTTGAATTGACAGCAAATTGTTGTTAACTTTAACACTATTAGTGAATACAATGAATGCATGAATTGGCATAAAAAGCATTCAATGTTTGCAAACATTCACTCAAAACATGTTTCAATTGCCAATTGACTCGTTGTATGCCATCTGGCGATGCATTCAACGCATGCTTTGCCACCAAATATCCATAAATGACGAAACGGATGAATGCATGCATTGAACGGTCGACGCAATGGAGAGACAATGGGTTGTCGTGTTTGGGGGACAAGTGGTGGCCGTAATAGTCGATCGCACGGGTGGGAGGAGTCGGTGCGGGTGTGGGCGGGGAGTGAGTGTTGGGCACTGTTTGGTGTTCGTGAAGGCTTCAAATGTTAGCCAAAGTGTTGTGTTTTCGTTGATTAACTCATTCATTAGGAAAGTGTTGTAAACATTAATTGAGTGGTGAATGCAATGAGTGTTTGCTGTGAATGGGTTGTGAATCGGCGGCGGAGGTGAAGAAGTGGTTGGTGTAGCGATAGTGGATGTGCTGTGGGTTGAGGTGTGGTTGTCTATAAGTGACGGCCATTTCAATTGGATGTCTTTCATTTCACTCATTCAGAGTGACATTTGATGACAGCCTGTGCTCCCTGTGCTCTACACATCCATTCACTACACGTCGAAACACAAAAGGTATTCAATGCATGAAAACAACACTTCTTATCAAATACCTAACCATTAATTGGTATCTCTTATGGCAAACCATTGTCTGATCAATGCTTTCAATGAATCACTCAATCGTTTCATCATTTAATTGATGACAAACTTTTTTCTTATCGTTTTATAAGTCATTTAATTTTTGTTTCTTTGCCTTTAGTTTGTAATTATTTGTTGAAGTTTTTCATTTTCATAGCATATATTACTGTTATTTTGGCAAAAACTTTTCATTTCATTATATAAATAAGTATTCAATTAAATAATAACTTGTTTTCAATTAAAACTTTCGCAGATTTTTGGCGATAAACGCTTTTTAAATGAGAAAAATATTTTGAAACCAATGTATTAATTACTTTAGGCTATTGTGTTCATATGTGTGGATATTTTTATTTTAATTGCAATCTATTGATTAAAGCGATAATAATTTACTTAACATTTTATGATGATTTGGGAAAATGTGTTCAGTTTTAAAAGTATTTGTTATTTCTAAATCTTATTTATTTTTTACTGTTATTCACAAATATCTTAAGTGCCATAAACTCTATATTAAAATACAGTATTAATACCGTATAAGCTTTTAATAAAAGCTTAATTTATGAAAACTTTAGTCTTATCTATATTTTATGTAGTTATGCATTTGAATGCATTTTATATAATATTATTACGATTAAATAAAAGTTGATTTATTTGGTACTGGTTTTTGTTTGGGAGTGAAGTGTGTTTGAAATGTTCAAGTGGTGTTTAAAATGCAATCATTTATCACTCGTCGTATTTGCAAACAATTAAATCATAAATCATTTCAATTATTTCCCAAATGACTCACAAATAGGTAGATAGTTATTGTCGTAAATATTTTGATGACTAATATATATCTTATTTATCATGTAATTTACAGACAGTTATAACTGTTTACGAAATTATTACCTTTTTATTTTTGAACTTTTAAGCTAATTATACACGACGTCTGAATTAGCACTAAAAAGTCGTGACTTTAATTAATTCATTGATTGACATTATTTTATTATTTCTTTGCGATACTGTATAACTTATTATGAGACAAATTGAAAACACATTAGTTTTGAATTACTTTTTTGTTGCTTTAATA